GTCGTTTAGATAATGGAGTAAAAACTCTTTATTCCAAGTAAGTTACATTTGTCATTGAAATGTGAATCCAAACATTCTGCTGTTGCTGTTCATCTCTGATTTCTTTATATTTGACTTCTAAAGAGACAGACTTGCTCAGCAACAGTTCTTCAGGCTTTTGGCCTTTTTCAGTCATTGCAGTCCAACCTTGTACCTGACCATTTTCACTTTTGTATTATTTAAAGCCTCTGAACTGGAAGAGTGGCTGTCAAGACACCATTCTTGAGAAAGGGAATTTTTTTTACACAGAAACTGGAATGATGAATCCAAATGTCAAATTTTTGGTTCACATCTTGAGTATACAAATACACCAGTGAGTAAGAGCCACGTGTAAAGCACGGTGGAGGCTTTGTCATGGTCAGGCGCTGCATTTTAACCGGTTGTGCTGGAGATCTGGTCTAAATATGTGATGGAATGATGAATGCAGGAAAAGCACTGTCCACTTTTAATCTGCCCTCTTGAAAGGTTCTTACTGGGAACAGCTTTCATAGCATGCATGGACTGAAAAAACCCACACAGTGGAAACAATGTGGGATCAGAGAACAGAACAAAGGCGGACACATCAGTTAATATGGTTTAAGAAGCCTAGAAACTTCTATGAGCCGCTAATATGGTTCAAACTGTACAAACTAACCTTTTGCTCTATATGCTGCATTATGTGTTGACACGTTTCAGTAAATCACTGAATCCCCATTTTCCTAGTTAAATATAAAGAAATTAGGAGTTTTACACACTCCTGATGATAAAAGTATATTTCACATGATGTTATCAGACTCCAGGTGACTCTGTTTGCAGGTGTTCACTGCATCCCTGAGCTCCGGCTCCATCCGTGAGCTGGAACAAGTCGCTGAACATGCAGAGCTGCTAAATCTGTTTCACGTGCAGTACAATTGAGCGCACTTTGCTCGAAGAGCTTTTTGTCTGATTGCAGACCTCTTGGTTACAAAATAAAGACGCAGAAGGACGATGCGCTATTTCCAGCAGTCAGTGCAAAGCAGCAAGTACGCCTATGATCAGCTCATAGCGGCACAATGTCCTGTAGATGATTCATTATTAACGATTAAAGCAGCAAACCTGTTATTAGCGAGGGTCGGTGAGCCCGCCTCCTACCTGTGCTGCTGTCCAGCTGCACTGCGGTGGAATCACCGTTACGGCACAAATGTCTGTTTGTGCCGCCGAAGGAAGCCCCGCAGAAACGGCAAAACACTCCCGCAACAGCGCGGTGTGCAACTGCTGTACTGGAAACACAGCGGCAGGGCCTCCCTCTCTCCCCCGCCCTCTTCGGGCAAAGCGTGGAAGCGGCGCAGATTACGTCACCAGTGGACCCTCTGCGGCGCAAACGCGGCAGCGTCAGCCGCTTTCACATTCACGTTAAGGATACTGCACCTGATGTCTCCAGGTTATTGCATTATTGCACAAGGAAATGTTAAGTGATCATCCTGTCAAATGTTTTTGTTGCACCAGGCTGTAAACATGAGATCCGGTAAGATGTAACAATCAGCGTTTTCATGAAGGCAAAAATGTAACATTAAATATTCAGTCCTGTTGATGGGAGTCGGAGACGATGGATGGTCAGTGTTCCCTTTATTTACATTTTTCTCTGCGCAGTTAGTCTTCCTCTTTCACACTGGCCACTTCCTAAAGAGCAGAAGGAATGCGCATCTGTCTCCTCCCAGTTGGATACACGTGGAGTACTTCCTCAGGGAGGTATCAGGTGGCATTTAGGTGCTCCAACACCTCAGCTGGCTCCTTTCAACAGGAAAATGCAGTGGATCTATTTTCAACTTTCCCAAAGGACAGCACCATCATTCCGGCGCCCTGTCTCCAACAGCTCCTCCTGTTTGCTACGATGCTGTATGGGCCTCAAACAGAGAGCTTCAGGCTCCTTCTTGTTTTTTGTCCAACATGGAAAAAGAGTGATGATGCATTTTTCAGG